CGGTATAAATACTGTGCCAATACTTCTTAAACTGAAGGAGTCTTTCAACCAAGGAATCTCCACTTGAAGTAAAAGAAAGTCTCTCAAATAAACGTGGAGTATAAACAGGCGCCTTGATAATGAAAGTCTTTAAACTAAGTAAGTATCCGCATGGAGCAGAAAGTCTCTTGAAAAAACGTGATCTCCGCTTGGAGATCCAATGGCTGCCCCAGCTACTCTTACTTGCTAGGGAATCCCGCGGGAGTGACGTCACCGCGGCGGATTCCCTCTGGACAACGGCCCAGCGGCGCCAAGCCAGGAACGGAACGGCTGAGCCGGCAGGAACTCTCCTCAAAAAACGGCGAGGGGAATCTCATCCACAGAGCCGATGAGACTGGCCGGGGATCGTCACGACAGGTAAATGTAGGACTACCGGGAATCTCCACAACTGGAACTGGAACTGGAATGAGTAGCCTCCGTGAACGGACAAGACGATCTGGCAGCAGTGAGGGTGTGGCTGCAGCTTAAATACACTGCTCACTCATCAGCGACAGGCGGTGAGCGCAGGTGAAGCCAATTGCTTGATTGCAGCGCTGCAGCAGGTATGACACAGACCACTCCTCCTCCCAAACTCTCAAACCATACCTTTCGTCACTGCCCAACCAAACATGGTCACCCTGCTGGAGGAGGAGAATACCTCTTTAACTCTCTTTTATGAGTTTACTGATCGTGCAGTGGAGGATACAAAATCAGAGAGGATACAAAGACTGATCTGCAGAATTTGTTTTCAGAAGCATGTTTGTATATGGGTAGGGTCTTTCAGGGTGATAACAAGAGACATGGAGAGGATTGGATATGAGAAGCACACTTCTGCTTTGACTGCCTCCTAATATCCCCAGATGAAACCATCTCTTTGCTCAGTGCATCCACTGTAGTAGCACCCATCTTTGTTTTCCCAACAGTGGTATCTTATGTTTTTTATTGTTTTTTTTTCTTAGACTTTTTTTCCATCATGCCCAGTATGTTTACTCTTTTTAAAAAAAAAAAAAAGTTGTAGAGATGGAAACATGGTGACAACTTACCTTTCACTCTCATCCCAGCCTCCTCAATGGTTGGCAGACCTGGCACACTGAAGCAATTGGCCTGGAGATTCTATGCAGTAATTCTGTACACATTCTAAACCAGCTTCTTATTGTCTGGTTTGTTACATTCACTTGAGTGGTACTCGCTCATGCACTTGGCAACAGGTTCCTTCTAGAGAAGCAGCTTGTCACTGATCTGTGAAGACAACACACGTCTGAGAGGAGCGGACCAAAATAGCCTGAAAAATGCCGTCATCAACAAATTGTTGTCTACACATGACGTGCGAGTGCAGTCAGGCAGGGACTAGATAAGAACTAGATAAACTGAAAACAAGGCCTAGTCAAAAAACATTTAAAAAAAAAAAAACAGGCCCAAGGGAAAAAAAAAAGAAAAAAAAAAATTCCTCTCCTAGACCAAGGCATGCCAACAGTCAAAGTCTCCCCGAGCCGAACAAAGAATTGCTGAGGGAGCGTCAGTCACAGAAACCGAAACCTCCGAGGGTGCAACGTCCCCAGGCACCTCCAGAGGCATGACGTCCTCAGGCACCCTCGGAACCACTGAAGGAGAAACCACTGTCGCCGCCTCCCGGACCACCGGAGGCGCAACTGCCGTCGTCTCCCGAATCACCGGCGGAGTGGCCACCGCCGGCACCCCCACCCA